ACACACACACACACACACACACACACACACACACAAATCCTACAAGCTTCATGAAGATTTCCAAAAATGATTATAGATTTATATTTTATGTAAGTAATAGATTATCAGTGATAATCTAAATGTTAACAAGTTGGTCCCACTAGTTTTTCCCCAGACATCTTACTGTGTTTGAGACACTTTCTCTTACAGTTCAGGGTACTGGGGATTTAAGCAGGAAGCAGTGACTGGAACTCAGATGTGGGTTCTATTTCTGACTCTGCCACTGACATGCTAGGTGACCTTGGGCCACTCATGCTGCCTCTGTGACTCATCTTCCTCACCTGTGAAATGCAGATAGATACTGACTTCCTTTGTCAAGCACTCAGATCTACTGAAGAAAGGTGCTATGAGCTAGGTGTTAGGTAGACTGGAGAGGTTTAATGCCAAAAGGAGTTCTTGTTATGAGTTTCCCTGCATTTATTGAACTCCTTACTTTCAAGGTGTTATAAATTAGCTGTTTTGATGAAAGCATTAAGGTGGTTTTGAGAATTTTAGGTTAGGGTATTGTGCTTTTAGTTAACTTTTGGCAGCACTGATTCATTGCCTAGAATGCTACATAAACATCATGAAGTTATTTTCCATTTGGAACATCTACCACACTTGAAACTTCTGCTCCTTCTCATACCCAAGTGTGGAAAATTCAGAGCTCCCAAGCCCCTACTGCTGAGAGAAATGCAGCATCTGACGCTCCTATTGCTTTCTGGCTGACAACAAATTCGGGGAGAGGGACAGAGCTTCCTTTCCTCTTCACATCCAGGCTTTTAGGCCTCCCCACCAGTTCAGTTATACCTCTGCTGCTTACAGTTTTCCATGAAATTTACATAATATAAATCATCTTTTGAAGTATTGTTCAGGTTGTAACAGCCAAGAACGAGTGGGAAAGAAGCAACGCCCAGGGAGCATTCACATGGAATCTCAGCTTTAAGAGCCTTCTACTATTTGAAAGTTTCTGGCAAATCTATAAGCAGTGTGTGTTTTTAATTTAATCCATATTTTGACACTGGATTAAATGTTTAGCTACAAATGAACTGAAACCAGTCATCTAATAAAGAAAGAAATATTTGCATTAAACAGTCTCAAAGATTTGATTACAGTAACCTGTTTATGCACATTTCCTCTATAAATGTCACTAGAATAGGTCTCTAAAATAAATCCTTTATGACTTAACTTCTACCTCCCATACCACAGCCTGCTAGGGTTAATACACAAGCCTTAAAAAGAGGCCTTGAATCAAAACAAAGTTTTAGTGGAGCCACTCTGGTTCTTAGCAGGACTAACCCACATTTGAATATCTATAGTTAGATCACTGACAGTATTTGAGGCTTACGGGGAAACAGTGGTATTGAACAGCAAGGATCAAGATAGTTAGCTGTAATGGGAGGAAAGTTTGCAATGTACATGCCCACAATGGATATATAGCCAATACCTTTCCAAAAGTTAAACTGAGTACATTTTAAAATCCCCATCTATCCCCTACCTCCCATCTGTGGGGAGGCAGTTTAACAAAGCTCACATCTAATTAAGGGTCAAATATACTCCTTAACAAAAGGAAGTGAAGCTTTATTTAGATTTACTTGCTGTTTCATTTCTGTACTGTGACTTTGCACCACAAGGATATCGTCTTGACCTAGACACAATGGGCAACTAAAGGCTTTCAGATCAGATCTTGTTCTCAAGTATTCCACAGTTTAAGTGCTTCCAAAATTGGATTAAGACCATCCTAGGCTGTATGTACATCCCTACACAGGGAGCCCCATGGCTCCACTTGTGCTTGGGGCAGTGGTAGCTTGCAAAGATGATCTTTACCATCTGCTGGGGTGCCTACAACCACTCCTCAGGACAGGCTGGGGGTCTTCAAGATGTGCTGCTCATCAGGAAGAGCGATGCCTCAGCCCCACTCCACCCCAGCAAAAGGACTTGCGCACCTCATGCTGTCTGAAAACAACTCTCGAGTCACATGGGGCTGAGGTCCCATCCTTGCCCCTCTATCTCCTTGACTGGACTGAACAGAGAGCAGCAGGGGCTCCAGCCAGCCTGAAGACAAGTAGTGGAAAACCCACTGCCTGTTGTCCTGTGCAAGAGAGGCCCCTTTTATGCACCACTACAGCAGAAGAACCAATGCTTGAATGGTATAGTGTTGGAAGCCCTCAATCAAGCCCTTTAAGCATTAGTGGCTGCATGCCCCTGCCACCCAACCAGCAGCAGTGTCACCCAACTCTGCCCCAGCCACTTTAACTATAGCAGCAGCCCTCAAAGTCTCAAGTGTTTAGCTGAGTGCCTGAGCCACCCAGGCCTCTTGCACTGCAGACTGCTCTGATGCAAGTACTGGGCTCTGTCCACACCACTCAGACTGTATGGGATGATACCCCATGACCCCAGTCGTCAATACAATACTGACTATCTCACTTTGAAATAGATATTAACCCCAAAGACTAAATAAAGACTGAGATACCTTTAAAGTGACAGGGGATCTATATCACGATGGTGTCATTATTTGAGTGAGGTAACGAAACCAATCTAGGACTGATAGTACAAAATTCCAGCCCCGCAACCATCTCTTTTACCCCAGCCTAGACCTCCCTCTTACCACTCTTCAATCCACCCACTCCATCTTAGCTATACACTAAGTATAGTGTATAACTGGACCACTACTACACTTAGGATCAAGACGACTACACCTCCCTCACAAGCTACAATACCTTATTTGAGTTTTCACATACAGGACAAACTTCCGGTCCACCACCCTACTACAGGCCTAAGAACCCATTGTACAGCCTCCTCGCTATAAAGCGGAGGCAATAAATTCCACATACAAACTAGTTTTAGCATAAAACCTGTTCACCCAATTCATTATAGAGAGAGTCCACACTACTTTTTCAAACTATGCTATATCATCTTGCAGTGCTGCCGTCATGAGTTTCACTACAGCACTGATTAGACACCATATATAAGAGTCTGCTACTATCATGCAGATTGTGAGATCCTCTGGTGTATATCTGAATGGCAGATGAGGATACAGGGTAGAGTTATGGCTGTCATTAGAAGTTGAGCTGTTACCACAATGATGCTATTTCCTCTTACCTCTAATTAATCTCACAATTAATGAAGTTGTGCATAGTAGTTTCCCTAGGAAAGCCACGATTCATCAGATCAAGTCATATGTATGTAGTCATGTTAATGATGCAACTCCTACTCTAAGCTGCAAATTCAGGTTTGGTCTTATAAAGATGAACTTGATCTCCATCAGCCCTTCATCGGAGGGTTTATTACACATAGTGCAGGTAAACTGGTAGAGCTAGTAACCCTCAAGAACCATTTGTCAGGAATTAGTTTTAGAAGCAGTGTCAGCAAGATGGCAGTTGAGTGGAATCTGATGCATAAATTCACCGAAACTGGTAGATGTAAGTAACCCAAGTCCTTTATTTCAGATATTGTTTCAGCAAAAAATAGCATCACAGTTCCTGAAGCTTTAGAATGACAAATATGAGGAATGAACGACCACAAGACATTCTCTTTAGAGCTCTAGTCATACACCTCTACCCCGCTATAACGAGACCCGATATAACAGGTTCGCATATAGCGCGGTAGCAGCGGGGCTCCGGTGGCGCTTTAAAGGGCCCGGGTTCCCCGGAGCCCGGAGCACTTTAAATCACCGCCAGAGCCCTGCCGCTGCTACCCTGGGGCTGCGGCAGCGGGGCTCGGTCAGTGATTTAAAGGGCCTTGGGCTCCCCGCAGCGGCCGGAGCCCTGCCACCGCTACCCCGATATAACGGCGTTTCACCTATAACACAGTAGGGATTTTTGGCTCCCCACGACCGCTTATATCGGGGTAGAGGTGTATTAACTTCAGTAGGCAAATGGTTGACTTTGAACCCTGAAGAGACTAAGATTACAAGATCTGCTGGCAAAGCAGAGGCACTAGTAATCTTTATGTGCCACTGTGTT